TATTAGGTGATGATAATGCCTGCTGCTGTTGTTGCTGATCTTCATGGGGACTTCTACTTGAACCAGGTGAACTACCCGTTCTAACTGGTACAGGTGATACACCCTCACCAGTTCCTGTAGATGCACGTATTTGCAAATATGTATCATCATGTAACACTTCTTCTAAATGTTGTTGATGATGTCCATGATGACTATTCGTAGAGCCACTACTATCAGATGTATTTTGACTTGGCATGTTTGGAAATAGAACGTTCAAATTGAATTCAGCTCTAGTACCCCTCATCACCGCTGTTATTCCACTTACTCTGTCAACATCTTCTTGATCTTCATCATGTCTCTGCTGTTGTTGCTCTTCTAAGTGACGGGTTAATACCTGCTGCTGTTCGTTAATTTGTTGTTGATGATGTTGATGATGATGCTGTTGTTGTGGTTGATGATGGTGATGATGATGATGATGATCAATTGGTGTCGTAGAGAGCGTTTCAGTTCCGTAACGATGCATCGCAACGATAGGCATGTGACTGCCGGTACTCTTCTCTTCCGTCGGGACTAAGGCCTCGACACTCCGTCGTTGTTGCCGCCGAAGCCGTAAGTTATCCCCTCCCTCAGGAAGCGCAGGGGCCTCTCCCGTCTCTAGTTCAGCTACATTGTAGGTTTGTCCTTGCAGTTGAAGATGTCGATGGTGGGGATGATGCTGCGGTTCTTGATCTTCAGAACACTGGCCGCGATGATGATTTTCTAACTGTTGTTGTTCTTGTTTTTGATACTGATGCTGCTGATGGTGGTAATGATGATACTCCTTTAGTGAACCATCATCGTATGGTGAAGAGTCTGCCTCAATGTAAATTCTGTAGTAGATAAAAATCTTGAAAAAACAACAATACAAAACGGACAGTATACACAATACAAAACTTTTCTATGTGTATTTTTAGCATTGTTAATCTAAAGTACAATACAAACTCCTTGTTATTAAACAATAAAAATTTACACATTCAATTGCATATAATATTAATTATTCAAACAAAAAATGAAAGCAATCACTTACTTATATATTGTTATAGCATCACTATTGAATTAAATATAAATGAATTTGTTATTTTATGAATAAGTTATAAAATTTTGTATAAAAATATCTTAATTTCCTTTTAATATTTATTTACTATATTTAAAAAAATATATGAATTATATATTTTTATTATATATTAATTATATAATATTATTGAACAAATGTATCCATTTGTAATAACTAATACTTTCTAATATGATTTTTAAAATTATATTTTAAATAAAATTATACAACATGTTTTAAGATCAAATATAAGTTTCATATTTTCTTTAATTAATATTAGATTTTCAAAATATAGTTCAATAATCATATAACATATTAACTACATAATAAACTAAAGTTATAGTAACGAAGTATAAACTAAAAAATGTGTAGAGGAATTTTATTTCATAATTAACAAAACATGTTCTTCATTCCTTATAATATTATTTGTTAGATCAATATTATCTTATTTTATTTGTTTTTTTATTAAAGTTATAACTTTTATCTTGTAAGTAATTAATGAAGATGAATAGATTTATAATAATTGCATATATAAAAAATTTATAGACAATTATTTATACGTTTTACAACTATAGCTAATTATTTGAAATATTTCAATTGAAATATTTTTATCTGAAGTATTTTATTGTTTAAAAACAATAAACTAAAAAAATGTTTAAATTCTAAAAATATAAAATTTTGTTATTTTATTAAATTACTCTTTATACAGAAGTTAAAAACAATTATTTAATTTAATACATTTTTTTTTATTTTATATGGAATTTTAAATTAAGAATATTTTGATTATAATTTATTAAAATCTTTAATTTAATCTTTAAATTTATTTATTTATCCTGGTTTCTTTATAATTAATAAAATGTATATTGACGATACACAATAAAATTCGGATTAAAATATTATAATGTATAATTGTTTAATTAATATAAATTTTCTCCTATTCTAGTAAAGTAAAATTGAATAAATAGTTTAAATCATACTCTCCATAAATATATTTTATGTACAATTAGATTTAGAATATTAAACGACACAAAAAATAATTTAATGTCATACAAATCTATAAAATATATGTATACATGATAATGCTTAAGCTAAATACAAATTTATCAGTATATTTAATATAATATTGAAAATAATTTATTTACAAATAGAATATTTACAAACAATTAGCGATATTCTTTTTTATACTTCATTTAACTTTAAAATGTAATCAATTTTCATATTTTTCATACTGATAAATATGAAATATTAATGCAATATTCGTTTAATTATTTCATAAAAAATATTTTTAAAGAGAATACTTTATAAAGCAATAAAACCAAAATAAAATTTTTTTTAATTTATTAAAATTAATATTAATGTCAAATTAAAAAAAGATGTATATATATTTTAATATAATTTCAATATAATTATATATATATAAATTGATTATTTATATATATATAATTATATTATTTTAGTTATATGAATAGTTAAAATTTAATATAAATTAAGCATATTAAATACTAAACTTCTTAAATATTTTCTAAAATTATTTTAACAAACTTTATTTCAAACACAAATTCAACTTAAAAAATAAAAAAATGTATAAAAGAAAATTCATTCTTTTATAATTATATTTTATTTGGTAGATACATATTAAAACTAAAATTTAATCATTTATAATTATTTTATATTAATATATTACGATACTTATTATTATATACAAATAATCATTATCGAAAAATAAATTAATAACAATTAATTTATTCATGTTTCTTCTCATTTATAATAAATATTTAATTTCATTGTTAATATTTTCTATATAAAAGCATTTTCAATATATTACATAATTTAGATAAACGACGGCAATATAAGAGCCATAGATGTAAGACATTTTAGAGACACAAAATATAAGTTTTTTTTTTAATAAAAACACTGTTAGCTTATTTGTTATTTTTTCAATTTTAAAAAATAATTATTAAAATTTAATTTATAATAAGTTATATTATTTTATGAAGTTAAATTTCTATTGAAACAAGATCATATTTTCCTACCACTGAATGTTAAAAATACATATTTATGATATTAGAGCAATAATACATAAATTTTTTAATCAAACAATATTTATATATGTACACAAAGTAACTTTTGAAAAGTTGAATCAATTTATATATAAATATTATTTAATGTTACTGTATTTGTATACAAAATATTTCTATGTAAAAATTGTATGTTTCATTTATAGCAATAAATTTATAGTTACGAATTTATAATTGCATAGTTGATGTAACAAAATTAATTAAATAACTTTTATTTCTATTATTATTATTTGCTTATATTGTTATTATTAAAATTATAAAAGCTTTATGCCTATAAATAATAACTTTTATGAAATAAATTTTTCTGTTAATATTTATTTAAATGGCTAAAATAAAAATAAAGAACAAAATTTTTTAAGAATAGTACTTTTAAATGTTTATAAGTTTTCAATTAATAAATTTTCGTTAAAATAATTTTAAACGCTTAAATAAACCAAGTACTAGTTAAATTTACAATAACCTTCACTTTTTTTACATTAAGCGCATGCTCAATTCACGGTGCACATACGAGAAAAAGAAAAAACGCTCCCTCCTATTGACGAAGAAAAGAAAGAATCTCACCGCTGACTGATAACGTGCTGCTGCTGGTGGCCAGCTTGGTAGGCGAGTTGCTCTAGGGTATAGTCGGTCAACAGTTCCTCGTTCGTTTCGTTCGA